TGATCTGACCTCAGTGACTGTCTGAGGTCGTGGCCAGTCTCGAATACTAGCCACCTTCGCATCTTCCGGCCTAATCCCTTCCGCGGATACTTCATGACCCAAGTATAGTATCTTAGTGCAGCCAAACTCGCACTTTTGTAAGTTGACCTTATACTTGTGTTGTCGTAGGAGTGAGAGTACCTTCTCAACATGTTGTGCGTGCTCCTCGGCAGACTTACTAAAGATAAGAATGTCGTCTAAGTAGACCACGGCAAACTTATCTAAATGGTCATGGAAGATCCGATTCATAGCGTGATGGAATGTACCCGGCGCATTACAAAGACCGAAAGGCATCACAACAAACTCATACAGACCATATCTAGTCTAAAAAGTTGTCTTGTGTTGGTCCTCGGGTTTTATTGCGATCTGATGATATCCGGATTTCAAGTCTATCTTGCTATAGTACTTGCATCCCTGCACCCTATCCAATAGGTCGTCTATGCGAGGTAGAGGCTCTTCGTTCTTCACGGTGATGGCATTGAGGCCTCTATAGTCAATGCACATCCTCAAAGTACCCCCCTTCTTCGGTACGAATAGAACGGGTGATCCGTAAGGGGAAGTACTAGGCCGAATCCAACCCTTCTCTGTCAGCTCCTTAAGCTGTCGCCGAAGTTCATCTAACTCGGCGGGGGCCATCCTATAGATCCTTCCCTTTGGGGTCTTACTCCCTGGAATGATTTCTATAGCGTGGACGACTTCTCTTTCCACAACGCCTGTGGGCTCTTCGAACAGATCAGGGAACTTAGCAACGATGCGTTCTCTATCTCTGGGGGTGTTTTAAATGCCTCCCCCTTCTCAGAGACATAAACAAGGTACATACCCTCCTCTTGGTTCTGCTTATAGTAGTTGTAGAACGCTGATGCACACAAGCAGCCATGGGTATCTATAATACTACTGGACTTGAACTTAGTCAATCTGACAGTTCGGCCATCGGGCAACTTATGCTTGCGCACCTTCTTATCCCAGTCGAACTGGGGCTTAACAACTTCGAGGTAGTACATGCCTAACAACATTTCGAATGGCAAGTCGTCGCTAACCAAGAACGAGATCTC